GAAACCCATAGTGTCCAATCAAGTTACTCCAGCAAACTCAGTTGTTTCTAGAATGGGACAATTGTGAAAACTTGAACATTATGCAACGCCACCCTGATTCTTTCTGAAGGGAGCAAAGAGCCTCCAAATATAGCTGCTGGATTATTGAAGGACGACTGTTTTACTGTGTGTGTGTGTGTGTAAATTAATTAATTAATGCTAAGGATTATTTGCATTGGTTGATGATCAACAGAGAAATAAATTTAAATTGGGGGACACAGGTAGGAACAGGAAGGTTTCAACATATGCAAAGAGCAGAAAACATTCAAAAGCCCATATGGGGCAATCATAAATTGAAAAAAAAAAACCCAATTCTGGATATTTCTGTTCAAATCTTCTCTCTGTCTTGAGTTCCTACATTGCTCAGCTCTTTGCTTACCATTTCATAAAATGGGAATAATACCAGTTTAGAGTGTGACTGTAAAACAGCTTTTCCCAGTCATATGGACTGTATTTCAATAAACAAAATTCCTAGCCAGCAGAAACTCAAGGATTCAAGCTTGCTTATTCCCAAGGAATAGCCTGCTCTTTTCCACAGCATCTCTTTCAAGTGACTTTAGCCTAAATACGCCAATAAACTATACCCCAAATCTGTGTTTTTACGTAAACATTTCATTTTTGAAAACAGATAATCAGCCTTTCAACACTCTGCTTAATGTCCATACTATATTTAGCACACTTTCTGCAGTGTTAGAAAATATTAAAAATATTCCTGCAAAAAAAAATCAAAATGCCTAACTGAGCCAAGCCTATGAATAAATTAGAAACATTTTAAGGTGCCATTTGCTATCAAAGACCTGTTAGCACAAACAAAATTAGCCTTGCTTTCACTCAAATATGTCTGAAAAATATTATTAATATTAAACTATGTAGCTTGAATTTAAGAAAATATAGCAGAAATGCGTTTAGCCTACATCAAGGGGTTCTTAACCTTTTTGGGCCCTTCTGAGAGTCTGGTGAAACCTCTAGACCCCTTAGATGCATAAAATAAAATACGTCATATATTGTATTATAAAGGAAAGAAATTATGCTCAAATACAATGATCAAACTATTAAAAAATAGGTATTATGTAATATAGTAATATATGTGCTTCTTTCTTAATCCATTAAATCAATAACAAGGCAAGCTAAATTTCAGTTAGAGATCAGTGAAAATAAAGTTGTCATTTTTCCCCCCATTGAAGTTCACAGACTCCCTGAAATCTAACCCTGGTTAAAAACCCTTGGTCTGCAGTGTCATCCTAGAAGTCAGAATTTGTCTGGTCATTGAAGATTTTACAAAACCTCTACAGTACAGTTACACCATCCATTGCACCTGGTAGTATATGCCATCCCCAAGCAAAAAATCACCAAATTCTAAAACAACCCTTCCATAGAAACAA